TCTCTCACACACACACACACACACACACACACACAGACACACACACTCACACACACGCACACACACAGACACACACACTCTGTCTCTCACACACACACACACACACACACTCTCTCACTCACACACACACACACACACACACACACACACACACTCACACACACACTCTCTCACTCACACACACACACACACACACACACACACACACACACCCTTCCTCTCGCTGAATGTCCAGCGTTCAGGTCTCGCGCTTATTTTTGGCTCGGAACTTGTTTATTGCGGGCCGGTGAATAGATGGACACACGCCTTCACATAAAACACTCGCTTCTTTCCACGACTCGACTCATTCATGTTGAAAGATTCTGTGCATCTTTAGTTAGATGCTTTTACATTGTGACTGTGCCTCATACGCAATCAACAGAAACTGTCAGTGTGTTTTCTGCTCGTCACTAATCGATGCTTAATGATTTTCTCCTGTCAGATGTCGAATCACGGCAGCTGGAGCTCCTGGGGTCCGTGGGGTTCGTGTTCTCGGACGTGTGGCGGGGGTGTCCAGTTTGCACATCGTCTCTGTAACAACCCTCCTCCCCGAAACAACGGCCGCTACTGCACCGGGAAGAGAGCCGTCTACCGCTCCTGCAGCATCACGCCATGCCCTTCAGCCGGTGAGCGTCTCCAAACACACACGCATGCACAAATAATGCATGCTCACAGAAGAAAACACATGCAAATGCAACAAATTCTGCATCACGTACATCCCTGATAGATACCACAATCCCAAAATGCATTGCAATAAATTCAGTGAAAAGTTTTATCTAATATGATACCGTCAAGAGAAATATTAAGTAGGTAGCTAACACATTACATCGAGATTCCAGGATAAAATGTGACTCTGGAGCACAAAAGCAGTCAGTTAGTTAATTGAAATGAAGCTAAAATAAAATATTAATATTAAATGAAAACTTAAACAAAAATTAAGTAAACGAAATGCAACAAACTGAAATGTTACTGAAGTACTAAAGTTACTAAAACTAAAACTGGAATAAAAATAAATTAAAGCTAAATATGAATATTAAAAAAAACTCAAACTAATAAAAATGAGAAAAGCACACAACAAAATTACTAAAACTTAAACAAAACCTGAAAAATATAAAAATAAAAGCTAATTCAAACTATTAACAAATACCATACTAATTATATATAAATAATACTAAAATAACTTACTCAAACTCAATATTAATGACAGGCATGGCACTTTAATTCAGAAAAACTTAATATAAATAAAAATACAAATATAAAAAATAATAATAGTAATGATAGCGAAAACATTTATAATAATAATTTATTTAATATTATTGTCTTTGTTATTGTTGTTGAAGTTAATAATAATTAAAGCTAAAAATATATATAAATAAATACAATATAATAAAGTGTATTCCATTTACTCTTTCAATTATCGTGAGCTCATGAAAATATCATCTATAATAATTATAAATAATTCCCTCCTGAAACCAGCTTAAGAGGATTTTTAAAACATTTTGTGTCAGCTACACAAATATGTTAATACTGTATTAAGAACAGCAGCAAGCTTGTGCATTGAATATATTTGCTGTCATCTGTGTGCGTTAGGGAAGAGTTTCCGTCAGGAGCAGTGTGAGCTGCGTAACGGCCCTCAGACGGACCCTAAAGGAGTGAAGACCTTCGTGGAATGGGTGTCGAAGTTTGCCGGCGTGCTTCCCAAAGACATGTGCAAACTCACCTGCAGGGCCAAAGGGACGGGATACTACGTCGTGTTCTCGCAGCGGGTGAGGGAGTCACGGATCTCTCATAACACTTACAAACCGACTCAACATACTGAAGGATTTACATCCTTTCGGCATGATATTATAGAAATGCCACACTGGTCTTTGAAGTGTCACACGGTGCTTCAAACCCAGCTGACAGGAAACGTTCTCAAAAAGTTATGAACAGATGTTCTTACAGTTGCATTAATAATATTCTCAAACGTTAGCACAAAAGCATTGTTTACACATCAGTTACGGAATGTTTTTTTTTATTTTTTTTTATTAAGTTACAACAAATGTATCCACTTGTTTCGGAACGTTCAGAGAACATTCGAAAGTAACATTCCCAATGAAATGCAAAATGATACAATGGAGCATTCCCGTTTTACATTTACATTTTATCCAAAGCGACTTATAGATGAGGACAACAGAAGTAATCAAAACTAACTAAAGAGCAATGATATGTAAGTGCCGTGATAAGTCTCAGTTAGCTTAACGCAGCACACATAGCAAGGTTGTTATATATATATATATATATATATATATATAATAAATAAAAAGAAAACCAGTAGATAGAATAGAAAAAGAATAGAGAACATTAGTGTTAGAGGGTCTCTTTTTTTTTACAAAGAAAGAAAAGTCGAAAGAATAGAGAACGTTTAGAGAAAACATTTTTACAAAACTGGACGTTTTGAACATTCAGAGAACATTCATAAATAACATTTTCGCAGCTTAATGGGAACATTAGCAAGACATTCTTAGAACATATTTTATGATGTTACGAACAAACGTTCGTCCAGTAACATTAATACAAATTTCGTTCAGAGTCATCTAGTCACAGCACAAAAACATTATTTATAAATTGTTCCTAATGTTAGATTTTTTTAGTTGGATGTTTGTCTAATTTTTTTTTTTTCTAAAAATAAAACATTTAAAAGAACATCCCTTAATGTTTGCAAAAGGATAAAATTCCTTAAATGCTCATATAACCATTTTTACATATAACAGATGTTCAGAGAACATACAGAAATGATTTTCTTCCTTAGTATTTTTGTCTTGTTTTCTTGTATAAATATCTACTAATTCTGGATTTAAGATGCATTTACTTGACGAGTAAAATGACTTAAGATATTATGTCTTGTTTTCTGGAAAAATTATCCAAATTTTGTTAGTTTTTGCTTAAATCATGTAAAAATATCTGCCGATGGTGTAAGAAAAATAATCTTGTTTAGCCTTTGAATTAAGGCACTGGCAGATTTTTTGCTTGTTTTATGCAAAAACTAACAAAAATGGATAATATTTTTAGAAAACAAGTCGTTTTACTTGTCAAGTAAATGCATCCTGATTCAAGAATTTTTTGATATTTATACAAGAAAACAAGACTAAATACTAAGGAAGAAAATATTTTTTGCAGTGTTGATAACTTAATGGAAACGTTAGCAAAGCATTCTATCAATATCATGTCTTTAGTGCTTTTTGTTAGTGATATACAGTGGGGCAAAAAAGTATTTAGTCAGCCACCAATTGTGCAAGTTCTCCCACTTAAAAAGATGAGAGAGGCCTGTAATTTTCATCATAGGTATACCTCAACTAAGAGAGACAAAATGAGAAAAAAAATTAAGTGGGAGAACTTGCACAATTGGTGGCTGACTAAATACTTTTTTTCCCCACTGTATTTATTAAACCTTGAATATTTGTGCCATTTCTTTAGTAGCGATAGATGAAAGCCAGACAGCAGGTGAGGTTTGGTTTGTGTGGTTTTCTGCAGGTGGTTGATGGGACGGAGTGCCGGCCGTACAGCAGTTCGGTGTGTGTGAAGGGGAAGTGCGTTCGCACCGGCTGCGACGGGATCATCGGCTCTAAACTTCAATATGACAAGTGCGGCGTCTGCGGCGGCGACGGAAACAGCTGCATCAGAGTGGCTGGAAACTTCACCAAGAAGAGGTTAGACAACACACACTCATGGAGACATTCCATTTCTATTGATTTTAACCAAACCATAAAAAACGGGGACAATGTCAAACTCACTTTAGCGTATATATAAAACATAGAACTTTTATTAACAAAACAAATATAAATACACCATGCTATAGGGGAGGCTATGCCTAATATAAAATAACCAATAACTTACATAAAGTTTAAATAGGTATACAAAACTGGAAATAGGTCTCACCTCACTCTTCTTGTCTGTCTCACCTCACTCGTCTTGTCTGTCTCGCCTCGCTCGTCTCGTCCGTCTCACCTCACTCGTCTCGTCCGTCTCGCCTCGCTCGTCTCGTCCGCCTCGCTCTTCTCGTCCGTCTCGCCTCGCTCGTCTCGTCCGTCTCGTCCGTCTCACTCGTCTCGTCGGTCTCGCCTCACTCGTCTCGTCGGTCTCGCCTCACTCGTCTCGTCTGTCTCGCCTCACTCGTCTCGTCGGTCTCGCCTCACTCGTCTCGCCTCACTCGTCTCGTCTGTCTCGCCTCACTCGTCTCGTCGGTCTCGCCTCACTCGTCTCGCCTCACTCGTCTCGTCTGTCTCGCCTCACTCGTCTCGTCGGTCTCGCCTCACTCGTCTCGCCTCACTCGTCTCGTCTGTCTCGCCTCACTCGTCTTGAAAAATTATTTAGTTTAGCCTTTGAATTAAGATTATTTTTGATTTTAAGACATTTTTGATAATTTTTTTCAGTAAACAAGACATAATATCTTAAGTAATTTTACTTGTCAAGTAAATGCATCTTAAATCCAGAATTTGTAGATATTTATACAAGACAAAAATACTAAGGAAGAAAATCTTTTTTTGCAGTGCACGAGTTCGTCTGGAAATCTGACTGATCGCTCTGATTCTGTTTCATAGAGACATGCAAAATTGGATGCGTAATGTGATTTACAGAAGTAGGAAATGTTCCTGGTACAATAGCCTTTGTTTTCCCTGGGAGGACATGAAAGAAAAGAAAAAATCACAAATCAGATCTGTTGTACAGCTTGACGGAGACGTGCGCTGCCTCAGAAATGTCTCAGAGTGTCCTTTAGATTTGCACTCAAACGTCAGAGATCTCAATGTAAACTCGAGCATTTCTCATCCAGTGATCTGAGCTGCTTCACACTGGTTTTTATCACTCTGGATTCTTGCATGACGAACCAGTGACTCATCTGGGTCTGTTTTTATTCACTCTGAGGAATTTTAGGAGAAACATCTGAGACAAATTTGATACCCTTTTTGAAACAACTAAAACTTAAAAGGTTTTTTTAAACAAGTCATAAAATAAATATACATATTCTCAAGCTTTAAACAAACAATGTGGACAATGACACACAACACAAAAGCAAATAAAAAATTTGTAAAAAAATTTTCAACGAGAAAATACGTTTATTTTTCTGACCCCATTGGCAGATATTATTCATTGTTTTAATCATAAACTCACTTTATTTTGATATTATATATTGGAAAAAAAGACTTAATATTTTAAGTCATTTTGCTTCTCAATTAAATGTATCTTGAATTAAGAATGTTTAGCTATTTTCAGTGAAAAATAAGACAAAAACTAAAAAAAGACAGAAATACTAAGTCTTGATTTCTAATATATATATATATATAAATTAAGTGAGCTTATCCTTTGAACAAGAAAAAAATATTTGCCAGTAGTGTCATAAAAATTACATTTCCATTTGAATTATGTATATTTTTCTTAACCCATGGACAGATTTTTTTTTTCTTTTTCTTTTCTTGTTTTGAGCACGTCATGTTTAATAGGAAAAAAAACTTAATATAATTTTGCTTCTCAAGTAAATGTATCTTGATTTAACATATGTCTGGATATTTGGTTTGGAAGCAACAAGAAATACAAAATATGAATTTTCCAACAAAACAAAAAAAAACTAAATTAAGTGAGTTTATACCAAAAGGCTAAGAAAAATATTTTTTCTGATTCCATTGGCCATTCCATATTTTTCCTTGTTTTAAGCATAAATTCACTCCATTTTTATTCAGTAAAACAAGACTTACTATCTTAAGTAATTTTGCTTATCAAGTAAATGTATCTTGATTTTTTTTAAAAAGTAGATACTTTTTACTGGAAAAGACAGACAATACAAAATGACTAATAAAGTCATGTGATGTTGTCTCTGTGTTCTCCAGCAAGGGCTACACAGATGTGGTGAAGGTTCCCGAGGGCTCGACGCACCTGAAGGTCCGACAGTACAAAGCCAAAGGCCAGTCGCGCTACACAGCGTATCTGGCGCTGCGGCGGCCCGGAGGAGAATACCTGCTCAACGGGAAGTTCATGATCTCCACGTCCGAGACCATCATCCCCCTCAATGGCTCCGTTCTCAACTACACTGGCTGGAGTCAGCGGGACGAGGCCCTTCACAGCATGGGCCCCGGGGCCCTTCAGGAAAGCCTGGTGGTGCAGATTCTGGCCACGGATTCTAAGAAACCACTAGACATCCGCTACAGCTTCTTCATGCCTCGCAAAATGCCGCTTCCGCCGCGAACGGTCGCCGTGTCTTCAGGAACCGCCGCGGCGCTGTCCTCAGTGGAGATTGTGACGTTTACGACCGAGGTTCCTGCGACGATGACGATGCCCGCGGGGCCGCGCTGGGTGACGGGATCGTGGATGACGTGCTCCAGAACTTGCGATACGGGTTGGCAGAGTCGCACGGTGCAATGCAAGGACCCTCAAGGGAAGCTGTCCAAGAGCTGCCCGCTCAGCACCCGGCCGTCGGCCTTCAAACACTGCCTGATTAAAAAATGTTGAGGACCCCTCAATCAGACGAACTTCCTGACTGAGCTTCGTGAAGCACGTAGACTGAACCGTTGCAGTTGCGTTCCGATCACTGTGGGATTCTGCTAGCGTTCACAATTGTGTTGCGTTGTGACTCTGGAGCTTTGGCTGTAGCCTTGAATGTGGTGACGTTCAGCCACGCCCCTTTGACAAGGCCACGCCCCTTCCTTCGAATGACACACCCCTTGAGTTCACACTGGCAGTGATTTAAAGCATTTCTGTAGTGTTTGAGGCTCTGGCTTCACATGAGTCAATGTTCAGCCACGTCCATTTGACAAGGCCACGCCCCTTCTTTCAAAAGACACGCCCCCTGAGTTCACACTGGCAGTGATTTAAAGCATTTCTGTAGTGTTTGATGTTAAGATGTGTTCACATTAACCATTGATAAAATGGAATGTTCTATTAACGTTCACATAACCAAGAAAAAACATTTTAAAAACGTTCAGAAACAGTGTTTTCATAACTTAATGGGAACATTAGCCTAACATTCTGTATCAATATCATATGCAAAAAAACAGAGAGTGTTGGGAATCCCTCAATCAGACTAACTTCCTGAATCCTGCTAGTGTTCGCAATCGCGTTGTGACTCAGACAAGGAGCTTTGGCTCTAGCCTTAAATGTGGCAACTTTCAGCCACGCCCCTTTAACAAAGCCACACCCACTGGTCCAAAAGCCACGCCCCTTAAGTTCACACTGGCAGTGATTTAAACCATTGCCATAGAGTTTAATGTTAAGTTGCAATCACATTTACAGTTGCTCTGTGTGATCAAGTCATTCCAATTGGATTCCAACGACTGCGTGAAAAAGCGTACCCACGTAGGTTACACTTTTTTCCATTGACCAACAGAAAACCGCTTGGGTTCAAAGGGACTTCTGTGTGACTGGCACTTCATACATCTCTATTTTATAGACAGCAGACATTGGACCGTTTTGGTTCACGAAATTTCACTGGGATTTTGCTAATGTGACCGCAACTTCGACTGTAGGGCTGCGCGATATATAGCGTAATGTAATTTCCTTATGATTTGTGCTTGCGTAAAAGTGCTATAATTCTGATTCTGAAATCTAAAAAGGAATTTCTCAAACCTAGAACCTTTGTGATTTTGGAGCAAAATAATCAGGATTTTCAGATTACCGTGCCACCCTACTTGATTGCATTATTCAACTATATCAGTCTGCGCTCCCATTGGTTGTCATCGCATTTAGTCACAGCTTATTTGTATAAAGCTGGACCAAGTTGTCAATAATTGTCAACAGATTTACTGATCGCTGTTAGCGTGAACAACCTGTTTAGGGTCCCTGTATCACCCATAAGAAATAAGCTTCGACTGCAGGAACGGAAAGGTTCATGCAGAATGCTGATTTTCCGGAGTGAATCTCATAAGACTAAGACAAACTGGGAATATGACTGACCGCCGGTCCGTTCCTGAGCTCGTTTTCAGGGATTGAGCTGACGTTGATGTGTTTGTTCCTCTGTGCTCCATGTTTATGTCCGTTTGAGTCTCCCACAATGAACTGATCTTCCTTTCTTTGTTACAGAACAACTAAACAGGGCTCTGATTTGTAAATGTGTGTATGTCATTTCTGTGTTCAGGACACTGAGTGCCCTCGATACTCGCAATAATCGATCGCTCACTCGCTCGCAGTCGCGCCGTTTACATCTTCATGGGAATGTTTCAGGTTTAAAACAAACAAAAATCTTGTTTAGAGTGGAACACTTACAATGGACGTCTATGAGACAAGAATCACACAGGGTTAAAGCATGAAACATGTATGTTTATTAAAGCCTGTATACTAATTGCTATGTACAGAAATGTGTGTTATTTGAACTGTAATCCCAGCTAACAAGAAACATTTTTAGAATGTTCGGGCGACGTTCTTTTAAAGTTTTGAACAATTCAAAACAATTAAAGTAACTCATTTAAAGTTATCCGGTCTTAAATAACGTTCTCAAAATGTTAGCACAAAAACATTATGTATACATCATTCATGGGATTAAAAAAAAAAATGTTTCAATTGGACGTTCATCTCAACTTGTTTCAGAACGTTCAGAGAACATTCCAAAGTAACATTCCCATAATGTTTCCAAAATTCTAAAACGGAACGTTCCCTTAACATTCACACAACCTAGAAAAACAAATGCGTTACTATGTGTTACTGATGTAAGTGACTTTTACATGTTCTTATAATGTTGCACAGGCAAGGTGACACATTTAATGTTTTTCGGTTGTGTTGTTCAAAGCAAATGTGTTTTCTAACAATCTGATACAATGTCTTGCCCCATAGACTTCCATTGTAAGTTACTGTAAACACAATCTTAAAACCGGAACATTCCTTTGAATCATTTTTCACCTCAGTTCAACCTCACAACTTCATTTCTCAGACAGTGAAACATCTCAGATATGTGATGTGTGTTCGGATCATTGATTCGTGTGTGTGTTTTTATGAGCAGCGGAAATCAGTTTAAAGTCAACATGATTCAACTCTATTTACTTTCATTCATGTTCCAGCTCTTATTATATAAATTAATCTTTCATAGTAATTTGATATTATTTGACTTCGACGCCATCTCATCAATTCCTAAATAAAATTCATTTTAAAATTAATGAAATGAAATGCAAAAGTCTTGCACTATTTTGTTTCTCATCATGCATCCAGTTTCAGTTAGAAGTGCATCATATTACTGAAGTGCAATGGGTTGCGAATGCGTTTCATGTTGACTTTAAACCTGCTGCAGTTGTTCAGTTTGATTCATTTCTCACAGATGCAGTAACTGGATGAACTCATGTGATTCAGTGTTTGGTACCTGAACGTTTTCCAAGATTTCATCGGTTTACTCCATGTATGCAGTACTGTTTTACCGTCTCAATGGGAAACGGCCGTTTCACTGAAAATACACAGCACTGATTTTATAATTTATTGTTTGTACAACTGGTATGTGGAAAAAAAGAAAACACAGGATGAATTTATTTATTGTTATGCTCATTTTGTCTCATAAATACTATTTAACTAGGAATATGAGTGAGCAGAATAGTTCCTTTTGAAGAAAATTGTCTTTTTTAGCCATCTTCATGAATAAATGTGTATATAAAACAAAGTGCTATATTTAAAAGTTTACGTTTTATCGATTCATTTGTCGCCTCACTGAGATATCCATCTAGTTTCTAATTAATTTCTCAAATGGAATCAATAAACAGGCCATTTGAGTTTGTTAAAGTGCATGAGAGCAGAGGATGATATTTCTACAGTCCCATAAGCCACTTCTTCTTCTGAACCTCTGTTAAACACGACACTATCTGCATTGCTTCATCTTAAATGAGATATGAATGAGCAGTCTCGCTGTAAGACTAAACTAGAAGACTAGAGTTTATTTTGAGAGCAAGCAGGAGTGAGAGGGGCACGTTTTAGTAAAGATTTCTCAGTCTCCCAGGAAATAAACATGCTGTTCATTTAGCGCACGCTGACCCGTAAGCTGTCACATAGGAACTTACTGTTTATTGAGACTAATTTGAGAGAAAAAAAATTTCTTACACATCTCTATTAAAATATATTATTGGCTTTTAATGGATTTTGTGTGAAACCTAAACACTTGGACCGTTATGATTCATGAAACAGCAAAAAAGCAGCTTTAAATCAGATTATAGGTCAATAAAATAGATGAAAACCAACATGCAATCTGTTGATTAAGGTGAAACACCAGCTATTTATCAAACTGCACAGATGATGGTGAAACACTGAAAATACACAGAAGCTAATAACTTGTTCAGACTATAAACTTTCTTTAATGGGCTGTTTTATTAGCCAACCGAATCACACTAATTAGTAACTGCGTTTAATATAGACTTTAGGTCTGCAATCAAAATCCGGAGATCTCAATATAAACTCAAACATTTGAGATGCTCCACGATCATTTTAAAGCTCTAGATTGGATGAACTAGTGACCCATTTGGGTCTGTTTTTATTTCTCCTAACGACTTTCGGAATGAACATCTGACAAAAACATGATGCTTGTCATGAAACACAACGTTAAAGTCTCCGGGGGCCCGTTTCAAGAAGGAGGTTCAACCAACTCTGAGTTAAAACTTTAACTCTGAGTTGACTTACCCTGAGATGGGAAACAGAATGAAACAGATGAAAAGGATGGCCAAGTATTGGAAGAATGTTAAAATCAACAGTAGCCTTACTAATGTGCTCTGCATGCCTGATGTTATATCAAAAACTACCATTACAGCTCAAATAAATATGCATGTGGATATGGCAAAAAAATCACTATAATCCTAACTCCCTAGGAATTAATGCAGCCTCCTTATTTACAGGATTCTGTATAAAAGGACATGCTGTTTTTGTCACTTTCACAGTGAGGAAAATATATGTGCAATGAATGAGTGTAGATGCACTGCAAAAAAAAAAGCTTTTCTTGCTTAGTATTTTTGACTTTCCAATCAAAATATCTAAATATTCTCAAAGGTCATTTAAGTGTATTTTTCTTATTTTTTGCAAATGATCTGCCAATGAGGTAAGAAAAATCATCTTTTCTATGTTTCTGTTTGCATTAAGATTATTTTTCTTGTTTTAAGTAAAATGCACTTAATAAAATAAATATATACACATTAATACCTAAATAAGGACATAATAGTATACTTAAAGTATGATGTAAAGTTCACTTAAAGAACTTACGAGTATACTTGCAGTATAAAACTACTAAACTAGTAGTTTACTAAGACTAGTGTACTAAAAATGCTACTGCAAGTATTTAATTAGTAAACTATCAGTATTCATATAAGTTCACTTTTAGTATAGTTGCAGTACAAACTACAAATATTGTAAACTAGTTCAAAGTGTACTACTGTTATACTTAAAGTATACTTTTATATACTAGAAAGTGGGCCAATTTAGTCCCAAGGAGTATTGAAATGGTACACTTACAAGTATACTACTAGTACACTGATATTTGTGCACTTGCTACATAAAGTATACTTAAAGTATATTATATTATATTATAAAGTATAAATACTTGAAGTAAGGTAAGGGAAGGTTCAAGAGCAAGGTTCTCTCAAAGTTATGAACAAACGTTCTTCTAGTAACGTTAACAGAATGCTTGTTCATCTTTAATAATGCTCTCGAAACGTTATTTATACATCTGTGAATTTTTTTCTTTTAGTTGGATGTGCATGTAACATTTTTTAAATGTTGCGATTTGTTCAGGGAACGTTCAAAAGCAGCGTTCCCATAATGTTTGCAAAATGATACAACAGGATGGTTCCTTAACCTTCGCATAATCAATGAAAATCATTGTTATATTATAAAGTATAAATACTTGAAGTAAGGTAAGGGAAGGTTCAAGAGCAAGGTTCTCTCAAAGTTATGAACAAACGTTCTTCTAGTAACGTTAACAGAATGTTTGTTCATCTTTAATAATGCTCTCGAAACGTTATTTATACATCCGTTAAGTTTTTTTTCTTTTAGTTGGATGTGCATGTAACATTTTTTAAATGTTGCGATTTGTTCAGGGAACGTTCAAAAAGCAGCGTTCCCATAATGTTTGCAAAATGATACAACAGGATGGTTCCTTAACCTTCGCATAATCAATGAAAATCATTTTAAAGCATTACAAAACTGGACACTTTGAACATTCAGAAATATCGTTTTCAAAACTTAACAGGAACATTAGTAAAGCGTTCTTCGGTGCGTGGCCTATATGCTTTTAAAATACAGCAGACTTCCTCAAATATGTTTTGTAGTGCTGAAATACTTGTAGCCTACTATAACTGTACACTAGTTTTTGCTGCACATAATATTAACACAGACAGACTGATATGAGATTATATATGATGCTGGGGCGCCACCTGCTGTCTGGCCTGCTTCAACTAAATGAGGAAAAGTTCAAATAATATTAAATCCACATAAAACCAAACATGAACTGATCGTGCCATTTACATTCCAATATATATTATGTGTTTTATTTTTTTATTCTTAATTATAATAAAGTTATGGTGCACAGTTGACCTCTCATCATACTTTCCTCTTAAACTATTTACAGTAGCCTACTATTTTATATACAGTAGGCTACTTGTATAATTATCATACATGCAATTTTATTTTCTAAGGCACTGCATGGAGAATTTGTGCTTTTAAAATTAATCTGGAAAAAGTCCATGTCCGTATATTATGTGGTTTGGCATTACAGCAAACGCGAAGGAATGAATTGTTAAGTTCTGCTTCCATCTAGTGGTTTTGTGTTGAACCTACAAAAAATATTTTGAACACCCAGCTGGTTCCAAAAAGCTTTTAAGGTGGACTGTCAACCCTCTAAACTCGAGGACTGACTCAAAGCTACTCATTAATTCATAATAAGTTGCATATGCATGCAGAAATGGGTGTATTGATTCATATATGTCACTTCTGAACCAGTATTTTTCTTTCTTAGTCAGACATTTAGCATTATTAAGCATAAAATCTAAAGCATCTGCTTCAGAACAATTAAAATATACAATCAGAGTGAATCTTCGTTTTTAATAAGCCCACACGCTATATTCATTATGTTCCTGTAGCTCCGAACACTTTGTGT